GTTGGATCTGATTGTCCAGCATTCACTGCCATATAGGAGGACTGATATTATATAACCGTTCAGCATCTGTTTTTTTTTGTTTCTGTTTTGCCTCAAGTCTCTTCTTCATCTGTGAGGAGATTGTCCAGCATTCACTGCCATATAGGAGGACTGATATTATATAACCGTTCAGCACCCTTTTCTTTGTTTCTGTTGCCTCAAGTCTCTTCTTCATCTGTGAGGAGATTGTCCAGCATTCACTGCCATATAGGAGGACTGATATTATATAACCGTTCAGCACCCTTTTCTTTTGTTTCTGTTGCCTCAAGTCTCTTCTTCTTCATCTGTGAGGAGATTGTCCAGCATTCACTGCCATATAGGAGGACTGATATTATATAACCGTTCAGCACCCTTTTCTTTGTTTCTGTTGCCTCAAGTCTCTTCTTCATCTGTGAGGATTCATTGTCCAGCATTCACTGCCATATAGGAGGACTGATATTATATAACTGATATTATTTGTTCAGCACCCTTTTCTTTTGTTTGTTGCCTTGCCTCAAGTCTCTTCTTCATCTGTGAGGAGATTGTCCAGCATTCACTGCCATATAGGAGGACTGATATTATATAACCGTTCAGCACTTTTTTTTTCTTTGTTTCTGTTGCCTCAAGTCTCTTCTTCATCTGTGAGGAGATTGTCCAGCATTCACTGCCATATAGGAGGACTGATATTATATAACCGTTCAGCACCTTTTCTTTGTTTCTGTTGCCTCAAGTCTCTTCTTCATCTGTGAGGAGATTGTCCAGCATTCACTGCCATATAGGAGGACTGATATTATATAACCGTTCAGCACCCTTTTCTTTGTTTCTGTTGCCTCAAGTCTCTTCTTCATCTGTGAGGAATTGTCCAGCATTCACTGCCATATAGGAGGACTGATATTATATAACCGTTCAGCACTTTTTTCTTTGTTTCTGTTGCCTCAAGTCTCTTCTTCATCTGTGAGGAGATTGTCCAGCATTCACTGCCATATAGGAGGACTGATATTATATAACCGTTCAGCACTCTTTTCTTTGTTTCTGTTGCCTCAAGTCTCTTCTTCATCTGTGAGGAGATTGTCCAGCATTCACTGCCATATAGGAGGACTGATATTATATAACCGTTCAGCACTCTTTTCTTTGTTTCTGTTGCCTCAAGTCTCTTCTTCATCTGTGAGGAGATTGTCCAGCATTCACTGCCATATAGGAGGACTGATATTATATAACCGTTCAGCACCCTTTTCTTTGTTTCTGTTGCCTCAAGTCTCTTCTTCATCTGTGAGGAGATTGTCCAGCATTCACTGCCATATAGGAGGACTGATATTATATAACCGTTCAGCACCCTTTTCTTTGTTTCTGTTGCCTCAAGTCTCTTCTTCATCTGTGAGGAGATTGTCCAGCATTCACTGCCATATAGGAGGACTGATATTATATAACCGTTCAGCACCCTTTTCTTTGTTTCTGTTGCCTCAAGTCTCTTCTTCATCTGTGAGAGAGATTTCATCTGCCATATAGGAGGACTGATATTTATAATTGTTCAGCAGCATTTCTTTGATTTTTTTCTTTGTTTCTGTTGCCTCAAGTCTCTTCTTCATCTGTGAGGATTGTCCAGCATTCATTGCCATATAGGAGGACTGATATTATATAACCGTTCAGCACCCTTTTCTTTGTTTCTGTTGCCTCAAGTCTCTTCTTCATCTGTGAGGAGATTGTCCAGCATTCACTGCCATAGGAGGAGGACTGATATTATATAACCGTTCAGCACCCTTTTCTTTGTTTCTGTTGCCTCAAGTCTCTTCTTCATCTGTGAGGAGATTGTCCAGCATTCACTGCCATATAGGAGGACTGATATTATATAACCGTTCATCTTTTCTTTGTTTCTGTTGCCTCAAGTCTCTTCTTATCTGTGAGGAGACTGATTCACTGCCATATAGGAGGACTGATATTATATAACCGTTCAGCACCCTTTTCTTTGTTTCTGTTTCCTCAAGTCTCTTCTTCATCTGTGAGGAGATTGTCCAGCATTCACTGCCATATAGGAGGACTGATATTATATAACCGTTCAGCACCCTTTTCTTTGTTTCTGTTGCCTCAAGTCTCTTCTTCATCTGTGAGGAGATTGTCCAGCATTCACTGCCATATAGGAGGACTGATATTATATAACCGTTCAGCACTCTTTTTTTTTTGTTTCTGTTGCCTCAAGTCTCTTCTTCATCTGTGAGGAGATTGTCCAGCATTCACTGCCATATAGGAGGACTGATATTATATAACCGTTCAGCACCCTTTTTTCTTTGTTTCTGTTGCCTCAAGTCTCTTCTTCATCTGTGAGGAGATTGTCCAGCATTCACTGCCATATAGGAGGACATATGATATTATATAACCGTTCAGCACCTTTTCTTTTTTCTTTGCCTCAAGTCTCTTCTTTCTCTTTGCATTCCTCAAGTCTCTTCTTCATCTGTGAGGAGATTGTCCAGCATTCACTGCCATATAGGAGGACTGATATTATATAACCGTTCAGCACTCTTTTTCTTTGTTTCTGTTGCCTCAAGTCTCTTCTTCATCTGTGAGGAGATTGTCCAGCATTCACTGCCATATAGGAGGACTGATATTATATAACCGTTCAGCACCTTTTCTTTGTTTTGTTTCTGTCTTTCCATCAAGTCTCTTCTTCATATAGGAGGACTGATATTATTGTTCAGCACCCTTTTCTTTGTTTCATTCAAGTCTCTTCTTCATCTAATTGGACTGCCATATAGGAGGACTGATATTCTATATAACCGTTCAGCACCCTTTTCTTTGTTTCTGTTGCCTCAAGTCTCTTAAAATATCCTTTCCTTGGAATTCACAAGTCGCCAATTCCAAAAAAAATGATAAAAAAAATATGCATTTTAATCGCATGTTTTTTTGTCTGCATAAACAAAAGAGTTTTCCGACTACAATTTATTTCCATCTGTTGAATTTTTTTAAAACCAAAGTTTTTTAAAAAAATAAATTTTTTGGCCAAGTTTAAAATGGTTACGAATTATTTAAAATATTATAATTTGTAATGAGGTAGAATATAAGGAGGATGATATCCAGAGAGCTCAATGTAAATTCAGAGCAAATAAATTTGAATAAAAACAGACCACTTTACGGTTCCATGTAATAAATAATTTCACCACAGCCCTTTTGTTTTCTGGATCATCAGACTTTACTTCCAAAAGGTTGAAATGAAAAAGGTTTTTATTCAAATATATATGAAATATATATATGAAAGGAAATATATATGAAATTTAATATATATGAAATATATATGAAATAAAAAAAGGTTTTTATTCAAATATATATATATATATATATATATATATATATATATATATATATATATATATATATATATATATATATATATAGAGAGGGAGGAGGGACAGGATTAATGGATATCGGCTTTATACCCTTGGGAAAGGTGTGATTCATCTTCTTCACCCTCCAGCTATGGGTAAAATAGCAGGACAGAGTGGGTTCTATAGCCTTGGATGGCAACTGGTCTAGGAGAAGGACAACTCTGAATTCAAAACCTGCGGAGGGTCGTTTGGGAACGTTGTGGCACGTAGTGCACCCGGTCTCCTCTGTATTCGGCCATTCAAAAAGGGGTGGATGGTCCTACACAAAACCCTCACCACTATAATCGAATCTCACGTGCCGGTGTCGGGCTGTCAGTTTCCTGGAAACTGATCTGCTTGACCTCATGCGTCGAACCCGACGGGAGAATCGATATATATATATATATATATATATATATATATATATATATATAAATGTTGGTACTCGCTTGGAAAAACCTTGGATAATTCGTCCAAAACGAGTAAAAGGCAACTACGTAATTTGCTCAATACACGAAGTAGAGCAAAATCTAAGATAATCCTAAGGAGCCAGGCAAACCTACCTAGGTTTCACCTAAACGGACCGTCAGGGCGTTGCCGGCTGAAAAGGAAAATTATGGAACAGAATTTATCGCTAAAACCAAAAACAACCATGACTTGACAAAAAAGTAGGTGTAGACATTGGAAACGCAGTTTTTTTTTTATTTTTTATTTTTTTTTAATAAAGTCCGTAACCTCTACTCCCTGTTGTTTGAGTATATTTTTTTTGTCACGTGGTCATAGGATATAGGATGAGTTCCACCACGGAATATATGAGTAAGCGGCGCTATATCAAGTCTTATTTGATACTCCTTCGTTACCGAGGACCGTTGGAACAGTTGGTATGACGTTTGCATGATAACCTAACTGGCCGGGTTTCAATTCTCTGTAGTGGATGCGCACTGCTGATGTAGTTCCAAATATAGAACGAAATGGCCGTCCAGTGCTTTCTGCATTCTGTTGAGGTTTTTTCTAGTCTCGATGAATTACTTAAATTTTATTATCTCAAATGCTCCAATTTCACAGCCAAGAATCACCAAGCTACGTACACGGTGACATTCCCCTTAGGGGTACTTTCGTAAGAGGGTGGCTCCTCACAGAAAGCTTCTTCCTCAAAATTATTCCCTTCTGTTCGACAGACTTCCAGGAGGTTTCTTCAAAGAACACTATAATCTTAACCTCTTTAAATCTCCCTATATCTATATATTATATAACCTCATAATATGCAGCTCGCCAGCCATCATTACATATGTTTGAACCTAGTTTTTGGGTGAATATATATATATATATATATATATATATATATATTATATATTGAACAATGTATATATGTATCTGTGTCTGGAAATGTAAGAACATAGATAGTAGATACATACATACATACATGCATATATATTTAAGTCTCAATATAGAAACAGATAAATACATACATATTGAAGTCTTAGATATTGAAGTCTTAGATAGTGAAGTCTTACATAGATAGATAAATAGAGAGAGAGAGAGAGAAAAGGTGAAAACTTAAATAGATATTGAAGTCTTAGATATTGAAGTCTTAAATAGATAAACAGATATTGAAGTTTTAGATATATCTTAGAGAATAGATAAATAGATATTGAAGTAATAGATAGATAGATAGATAGATAGATAGATAGATAGATAGATAGATAGATAGATATGAACAGACTGAGATAGATAGATAGATAGATAGATAGATAGATAGATATGAATAAACTGAGATAGATATTAATACTGTGATAGATAGATAGATAGATAGATATGAACAGACTGAGATAGATAGATAGATAGATATGAATAAACTGAGATAGATATTAATAGACTGTGATAGATAGATAGATAGATGGATAGATAGATAGATAGATAGATAGATAGATAGATAGATAGATAATAATATGAATAGACTGAATAGATAGATAGATAGATAGATAGATAGATAGATGATAATGTGAATAAACTGAGATAGATATTAATAGACTGTGAGATAGATAGATAGATAGATAGATAGATAGATAGATAGATATGAATAAACTGAGATAGATATTAATAGACTGTGATAGATAGATAGATAGATATGAACAGACTGTGATAGATAGATAGATAGATAGATAGATAGATAGATAGATAGATAGATATGAATAAACTGAGATAGATATTAATAGATTGTGATAGATAGATAGATAGATAGATAGATAGATGAATATGAACAGACTGAGATAGATAGATAGATAGATAGATAGAAGATGGATGGATAGATAGATAGATAGATAGGATAACAAATAAGCTAGATAGATGTTAATAGACTGTGATAGATAGATAGATAGATAGATAGATAGATAGATGCTTATAGATAGATAGATAGATATCTAAAATTACCTTTATTTAGATATTATAGTTAGGAATAGACTGAGAAAGGGAGATAGAAACATACACAGATAGATATGAATCATAGCTAGCGAGAAAGACACAAACAGACTCAACTAGATAGATAGGCAGATAGATAGATAGATAGATAGATAAATAGATATATATATATGAACAGATATATAGAACAGAGAAGGAGTGAGAGGATAGATAGATAGATATGATAGATAGATAGATAGATAGATAGATAGATAGATAAATAATCAAAAGTGAAATTTTTAAAAGTAGAATAAAATCTACCTGAAATGACTTCTTCAAAAGTTATGATATTCCTAATCCACATTTTATTGAAAATTCTTTGTTATCTATTTGCTTTATTTTTTGCCGTTTCAGTGACAATTAGAAATTTACTTTGATTTCATTTTTAAAATCCGTCGATGCTGTCTGAGTGACTTTTGATAATTTTTTTTTTCATCACAATCTTTTATCTATTTTTTTCCAAAAAATCAAAAATGTAAAATGAATTTGGTGTCAAACGATTTTTCCAAAATGAAAAATTATAAAATGTTTCCTCATCTTTTCTTTTTATTGACATGTTTGCGCATGCGCCAGCAATTATTTGCTATTTTCATTTCTCATTAGTCTACAATTTTGTTTAAATCTCACCAACTTTCACTCCAGATATTTACTTCTTTTTTTTATAAAAAAGAACACATATATTTTCTCAGTGTAAACTAAGTATGGCACAAGATCAAATTATTTGGGGCGTGATTAGAGTAGAGAATATGACCATATTACACAATTCTTTCACGTTGTAGGTAATGCTATAATTTTTACATTTCAAAGCGATATTCAAATCAATATTTAAGTATTTGTGCATAAATTTATTCAACCACAAAAACTTCTTTGAGGGGGGGGCACCTTCTGGATTTAATATCCAGTGGATTTCTTGGTAATGCCATTGCTAAAGAAAGGAGGGCAGAGAAAAAATTATAGGACAATAAGCGTAATCAGGCATCCGAGTAAAGTACAGCTCCGTTTCATATTGAATCGTTTTGAAATAAAAGGCTGAAGAATTTCTAAAAAAAGGAACTTCAGGTTAAAAAAAACCGGATGAAGTACAATAGGAAGGTTTTCAAGTTGTCGGATCTTCAATAAAACATAGCAACATCTGAAGGCGTGTTCCTTACATTTATTCGATTTCAAAGAAAAGTTTATATTTGTATATGGCAAAGATTTTCATTTGACAAATTTTAATGAATTTATTGTAGATGACAGGAAGAATCCAATTAAAGGCCCTATAATAACGATGCCACCAGAACAGTTCTTCTGGGAAAACAAATGGGAAGATTCTTCCGGACAATTGTCGGCATCATTTTTCTTTATATATAGACTGCCTTTGAAAACATTTACATGGCGGTGTATATATTTTTACAGTAAGGCTCACCCTGTACAAGCCCCGTTGTCCACTCGAGGTACAAGGTTACATTTTGAGGATTAAATATATAAATATTAAATAGATTTCTTTAATCCAAGAAGAAGAAGAAGAGAAGGTTCTAATACTTAGAAGGAGGATTACGAAGAAGAAAATATAGTAAATTTAAGAAAACGATGAAGATAGAAAAACAAACTTTTTTTGAAGGAGGAGGAGGAGGAGGTGGTAAAAGAAGAAGAGTTGCAAAAAAAGAAGAAAACGATGAAGAGAAACAAGAAAAAGTGTGGAAGAAGAAGAAGAAGAAGTCTAGTAAAGAGGATTCCTAATCGATGAAGAGAAAGAAGAGGAGGATGTGGAGTACAAGGAGGAAGAAGAAGAGTAGCAAAAAATATAAGAAACTTAATGAAGAGAACTTAAGGAGAAAGTGTTGGAAGAAGAAGAAGAAGAAGAAGAAGAAGAAGATTTTTACTTCAACAACAGAAAAGAAGTTAAAGATGAACAACAAGAAGTGTGGAGGACAGATAATCTTGAAATCGATAAAAGAGAAAGAAAGAGGAGGATGTGGAAGAGGAGGGGGAAAGAAGAAGAAGAGTTTTAAAAAGAATAAGAAAACGATGAAGAGAAACAAGGTGTGGAAGAAAAGAAGAAGAAGAAAACAAAAGAAGAATAATTAGTAGTAGTAGTATAGGAATATTGAAATGAAAATCGATAAAAGAAAAAAGGAGGCTGTGGAGGAGAAATATAGGAGGAAAAGAAAATAAATAGCAAAACGGAAAAAAGAAAACGATGAAAAAAACAACCAGTTATTTAACTTTAGCAGGAGGAGGAGGCCAACAATAATGGACAAGAATAACTGACACAAATCTTTCAAAATTTGAAGGAGATTCAAAATATAAAACTTCATTGTTTCCCTTTCCTACAATTTTAAAAAGTTCAGATGATGATGAAATTTCTACTTTCTTTTACATTTATATATATATCTACAGAGCAAAGATGTTGAAACTAATTGAACCATTCGTGCATCGTGTCTAGTTGGGCTTTGTTTTGTCAATTCTAAAATTTAGAAATAGCCGGCAAACGAGATTACACAAAAACAGCTAAAATCATTAGAGAATGCTACTTATGCTTGATATTTTCTATAAAAAAGATATTAAAACAATCCAATTTTAAAATTACTAAATTAAATGCCTGCATATTTTGAACCATAAATTCAGTAAATACACAAATTTAGAAAACGGCTAAAAGACAAGTATGATATCTTCGCCGGACTTAGAAAAAAAATTTATAGATGAAGAATTTCTGAGAAGCATTATGGAAGTACTAGCATATTATTTATTGGAACAATAATTTTAACAGTATCAAAAATTTCCGACCTGATTATTCATAGGAAACCTTATAGAAATTATTAGATGCGCCCAACTCAGGACTCAAAACTGGGTGCCCTTTCGTAGAAGAAACCATCGTAAGATCCGACGTGCTTTTAACAGACTCGGCTGCGAATGTTATCATCGATCAAGGCCAGGCTGAATACTGCCTTCAAGCGCAATGCTTTAAATTCTTTACAATTCTTCTTCCTTTCTTTGACACTATTTAGGGTTGCGACACTAAAAAAAAAAAAGGCGAGAATTAATTTAGGTGATAAGAAGCTATCACGAAAAGACACTGAGCGATGTTATTTTTTCTAACAAAGAAAAGTGGTAAAGATTTTATTTTCATTAGCGAAGAAAGTAAAATCTCGGATCTGTCGGATTTAATTTGATTTATGTTACGACGCGGCGAATAAAAGATAGCAATCTGCCCATGGCAATAATGAAAATTTCAAATTGGTCAAGTGGCCTACAAAACAGAATGCTAAGAGATAATATTAATTAGGTAACGCACTGACCGAAAAAAAATGTCCGCTGGACCACCCCACAAGAAAAAAAGAAGGAAAAAGATTAAACCATTAACTATCTGCGGAGATATCATTTGGGAAAAAAACACCTGTTTTATGTCAGAGCTGGCCATGATAAAAAAATTTTTTTATCGGAACAGATAATTGGCGACAGAGTGCGAATAAAATCATTGACCACCCACTTGATTATTTGGCGAAAATCTCGTTGACGAATTCCAGATGACATTCGGTTAAGATAGAGATTAGGGACCATCCTACGAGTCTAGGGGTTTGTTGTCTGAAGAAGAAAAAAAAAAAAAAAGGAAAAAATTTTTTTCTTTGAGCGATTTTTTTCTTTTGAGCGATAATTGCAAACACCCACGCTGCTGAGCGTTCATTGGCTGAAGGGTGGCGTGAGCGGTAGGCGAATGTAAACTATGAAGAAGGAGGGGAGGCCTGTTGACGCCCCCTGAAGGGATTGGTGTGAGATGCCACTGTAAGAGAGAGGGGAACCTGTTGACGCCCTCTGAGGGGATTGGTGTGAGATACCAATATGAGAAAGGAAGAATTTGGGAGGACGATTCCCTTAAAGTAGAAAGTAAAGACTTCCAAAAATGGAAAGTAATAAATTTTCCTGACCGAAAACAAAGAAGATACTTATTGTGGATTTAGAATTATCAACGAACCTCAAACCCCGACAAGCCCACTCCGGTTTTGGTCAGCGTCCATATAAGCAGAGTCGCAGCGAGAAAAGAGACAGTTGGAGACAGCAGTTCAGTTGCAGAGTAAGTTGAGTTGACGCAGTTGGCAGACGCAGACAGAGTTGAGCTGTGAGCTCTGAGACCCGCCTCGCAGAAAGCTGACTGAAAGATCCACGCAATCACGACCTCAACTTCTAACCAAGAACAATTTATTTTTGAAGAACGACTTAGACTCACCCCACCAAAACAAGTTTTACGAATATCGCCTGAAGATACACCAAGAACCAGTTTCTTAAAAAAAAAACAACTTAAGATGTTAAGACTCGCCTAACAAACACAAAGTGTCACGAATCCATATAAGCGGGTTGGGGGAGAAAGACGCAGTCCTGTATTCAGCAACCAGATATAAAATATTGTTATCTTTTTTTTTTAACACATTTGAACTTTTCGAGTTCTTATTTTATTTTCTTTTACATATAATTGTGCGATATCGCCCTTGGTCGGACTCGACTTGCATTACGGCCCCGCGACTGATTGATTTCGTCTACCTAAGATCAAATCACAACGTGGGTAGGTTAGACTAGAAATCAAAACAGTTACTTCGGTAACCAGACGTTGGAGGCGAGCTGGGAACGACAAGGCTGATCCCGAATCTAACCAGATTCCCATCCGAATCAGCAAAGGGTTAGAACGTCACATTTGGTGCCGCGACCAATACCAAGTCACATTGGTCGTCACAGGACAGGATAGGACGGCGACGGGGCAGAGAGGCAGACGGGGTGACGTCACAATTGGCGCTTTTTAGGATAACTTCTTTTCTGGCCAGGCAGACGTCACATTTTTCTTCGGAGACGTTTTCTCATTTCTTACATTTATTTCCTGATTCTTTTTTTCATTATCCTCAAAATCTAAACCTGATATATAGATTTTTTTTAAATTTCTTTCTTTTGATTTTTTTTTATTGATTTCTTCTGATTTTATAATTATTTCTTTGTTCAAATTTGATTTTTTTCTATAAAATTCTTAAAACTTTCTTTTAAACCATATTTAAATTTATTTTTATATTTAAATTTTTCCATTATTTTTGCAGAGGAAAAAAAATTATTTTCTTTCTTTTTTTAATCTTTTTTTTTTTCAAATTTTCTTTTGATTTTTGACACATAAAATTTTTTCATTCTTTTATTGCTTTTCATCATTTTTTCGTTTATTCCAAAAATTTTTCTTATTTTCTTTTTTCTTTCTTTCTAATATCTTTCTTTCTTTTTTTTTTATTTCATTTTCTTTATTCGAAATGACGAAGAAAGTTTTTTTAAATATATTTTTTTTTTTAATCATATTATTTTATTGATTTTCTTCTGTTTTTCTTGTCTATTTAAAAAAAATTCTTTTTTTTTTTTTTTTTTCTTTTTCTTTTTTTTTATATATATATATATTTTTTCTTTAATTTTTATTTTGATTTTTTTTTTCATTTTAATTATCTCTTTTTTAAATTGTCTTTGTTTAATTTATTTTCACTTTACATATTTATTTAAACAATTTCTTTTTTTCTCTTTTTCTTTTTTAATTTGTTTTTCTTTTGTATTTATATTATATTTGTTTCAAATAAATTTCAAATTATATTTTCATATGGAAAAATTAATTATTAATTATTCAATATTCGTTTCTTTTTTTCTTTGATCACCCAGAATTCTGATTTTGCAGCTGAAACTTCTTTTTATTCGAATTTTTTTTTAAATTTTCAAAATTTTTGTTTCTTTTTTGATTTCAATTTTCAAATTTTTTATTTATATTGAATCTATCAACAATCTTAATTTTTCTTACAGATTTATTTAAGCCAATTTTTCCTTCAGAATTTTGAGATGTTTTAATTTTTTTTTTTTTTAAAAGAAGATTTTTAAAAATTTTTTTTAAAAAATTTCTTAACGAAAATTTCATTTGTGAAATTTCTACCAATCAAGGCATTTTTTAAATAATTTTTTTTTTTGTTTAGAAAGATGACCCATTTTGAAAATTTTTTTCTTTCTTTTCTCAACAGCAAAGAAATAAATTCATCAGGATATTGGAAAAGATTTGGCTATGAAATATTTTTTTAAATTCCTTAAAAAAGAAATAAATAATTTTTCTAAATAAATTTTTTTTCAAATATATATTTGAATTTTTAAATGTTTAAAATTTTAAATAAATAGATTTGAAATTTATTTTTAAATATTTTTAATATTTTCTTAATCAAAAATTTTTTTTATATAAATATTTTTTAAGAAATCAGATAAATAAAATTAAATAGAAACATAATAAATGGATTTCAATATTTTTATTGATTTTCATTTCTGATTATTAAAGGTTTGGAAGAATTAATTTTCATTTTTGAATTTTCTGCGAATTTTTTTTCGTAAATATTGAATTATTTTAAGATCTTTCATTTATATGTTTAAATTTTTTTGAAAAAATCTTTTGTTTTTTTTTCTTTAAATTATAATATCAATTTTTAAAAAGTCTATATTTTAGAAAAAAATTTTTTTTTCCCAAAATTATATAAGTTTATTTTCTTATATTCGGGAGGAACATTCTCAAAAAACTTTCCATTTGAAATTCGTTTTGTTCATTTACTTTTTCTCTACATTTCACAAATTTATTTCGAATAATACATCCATCATTTGAAATTTTTTTGTTTATCATTCTTTTTTCAGTTCTCCATTCTTAAATTGAGAAAAAGATATTTTAATTGGAAAAATGTTTATAAAAAATCTATTCTGAATGATTATTACATCTTTCGTTGAATAGAATAAAAATATCTTTTTGATTTAATTTTTTGAGGTAAAAAAAAAAAATATTATATATGTGTGCAAAAAATATAATATTTTTTTATAAAATGTTTATCATTTAGATATTTATAATTGATATATGAAAAATTCAGAAAAAATCAAAAACTTGATTTTTAGAGAATTAGAGTTTAAAAAAAAAAAAAGAATTTAATTTTAGAAATTTTTGAAATTTAATCTTATTATAAACAAAAATTTTTAAATAAAATGCAAAACCGATTTAAGAATAAAATTAAAGACTGGTTTTCTACTTTAATATAAAAAAATTAAAAAAAATATAATTAATAAACGAAATTATATTTGAAAAATAAAAAAAATTATATTTAAACTTATTTCAAATGACAAAAATACATTATATCCATGAAGTCTCATAAATCATGCCAAGATAATTAGTTTTCTACACCAAATTCAAGATAGAATAATCAGATCAAAATAAATTTTTATAACCCCTAATCTCGGTGTTATATTATAAACCTAAAGAAAAAAGAATTGACGAAGTAAAAAAAATTCAATTTGTGTTCTTGATGTAATTCAAATTTTTTTGAAAAATATATATATATATATATATATATATATATATATATATATATATATATATATATATATGAAGATCTGAAAATTTTTTTGCATAAACGGTTTTTTAAAAAATGAGATATAAAAATATGTTAATAAAAAGGATTTTTATAGTTATATTCTTGATAAAAAAATATAAATTGCTTTGCTTTATGTGTTTATATTAAATAATAAAATTTAGACAAATTTGAAAAGAGGAATATAGTTTCATCCCAGTTTAATTGTTATAAAAACATTACGAAAATATCTAAAACAAAATTAAAAAATAGTTTGAAAAGACGAAAAATCTAACAAATTTAATTTGAGGTTTAATTTAATTAAGTTTAGGATTGATTTCGAATTATATCTATCTATCTATTTTTCTATCTGAAAATCTATAAAATATCATAATTGAAAAATCTAAACTACACATTTAGAAAAGAACTATCTATATATATATAGGATATATATATATATATATATTTATATATATATAATCAAAATTTGAAAAGATTGAAAAGTCAATTAAAAAAAATTTCATTTAAACATTTGTTTTTTATTCTTATCACCGCTTTTGCGTTTATTTATTAAATTTAACAAAAAAAAAAAGATAAAATTTATTAAATTTTTTAAATTTTTGAAAATATTTTTTTATTGAAATTGATCATGACATTTTTTCTAAATTTACGGAAATGGAGGATATATATAAAAAAATATATATAAAATATATTTCAACATATATATATTTTTTAATTTGTATATTCGATAACATATAACGGCATGGAATTTGCGAACCTATAAAACTATTTTTTCGGAAATAAAGCATTAAAGCCATCTGCAATATATATAAAATTAATAGGATATATATATATATATGAATATAACAAAAATAAAAATAATTTCATAAAAATCGCCTTGATGAGAATAAAATTTTTTTTATATATATATTATATCGCAAGGAAATAAATTAACTGAATAAAAAAAGGTATCCAAATTTGGCCATGTTAAAATGAATTTTTTTAATTAAATCTTTGATTTTTATCAAAATAATTTTAGAAAAAAAAATGCCAAAATGAACAATATTTTTTTTGTTATATTTATATATAAATATACCAGTAAAATGAATATATATACAAAAATATATATATATATTTAAATTATATTGATTTTTAAAAATATGATTCAAAAATTCATAAAAACATTCAAAAAAAATTTTAATTTCAATTTATTATTTCTCTATTTTCGATATTGTCCAAATTTATTACCGAGAAGTAAAAACAAGAAAAATCCAATATTTCCATAGATGAGGATATCTTAGGAACAGAGAAAGCTTGTAAAAATATAAAAAGACCTTATGCAACTGGAATAAATAAACAGGGATCATATCATTCATATACAGGTTCGGGGTTGATGTATCTTATTTATATTGTTTTGAAGATGTATTCTCGCCATTTAAATCATTAACCTTTATATTTGTTTTTTTGTATGAATGATTCATGAATTTATAAACATAAATTAAATAATTTTAATGATATATATTTATATATATATATATATATATATATATATTATTATATACATTTTTTTTTCAGTTATTATAGATTTTTTTTTATATTTTATAATTATTTTTTAAATAATTTTTTTTTGATAAAATAAATACATTTCCCGGCCTGAATGTCTCAATAAATATATAGAAAATATTCGTCCTGGAAACATGAAAATTTGTAATATTCTTAAATAATAAAAATTCATTTCATATTTATGAAATATACAACTTGGTTTATACATAAACAAACTTTTATTTTTTTTTATTTTACAAAATAAATCTCTACTATTTAAAAAGTTTTTTTTAGACTATTTTTTATCTATATCTAATAAATAAATATATATTTAAATCATTATTTATATATATTTATATATAATTTATATTGTATACTATTTGTAAAGTAAAAATATTTTATTTATAAAACATGGATTCCCCCTGCGGAATAAATTATGAATTTAATTATATTATATATTTTATATATAAAAATCATTTAAACATAAAAGACTTAAAATATAAAAGGAAATTTTATATATTTTTATTTCAAAAAATTTAATATATATATATATATATATATTTAATACATATGATATATATTATATATGGAATATATATATATATATATAATAATATTGTTTAAGGGGAGATAATATTAAACAAAATCAACTGTATATATATTGAGTTCTACCTGGATTCCTTCCTCTTGGAAATTTTTTTTTCTGAAAATATACATGTATGGAATTTTTTTTTAGATATATTTTTCATATATATGTATATTTTCCACTAAATTATAATAATATATATATATATATATATAAATATATATATTTAAAACAAGGAATGTATTGATTTTAATTACGTTTCTCTCTAATTCTTTCAAACAAATTGATAAACCAGGAGACAATGGTTGGAAAATTTATTTAAAATGAAAAAATTAAAATCCGATGAAGATGAAATTTGATTTAACGGCAGAAAGAAGAGCTCCATTTAATTCTAAATATATTTAAAGTAAGAACCCTCCAGGCCATTGCATAATTTTCATTTAGTAAAGTCAAATTTACGGTAACTCAGCCAGGCTTGGAACTTTGGAAATTGGAATTTAGAACGGACAGTATTCTCTCATTTGAATTTAAATGTTAAATTAATTATAGTAACGTTTGTTTTTAGTCAAATATTCTGAAACCATTTAAAAAGGACATTCAATAGGAATAAAAATAAAATACAAAAAATTATTTGATGATTGTCAGTATGTAATTAATTTTAATAAAAGTGAAAAAGGTTTAGATTAAATAGATGTTTCAAAAAAATTAATAATATATATATATATAATATATATATATATATATATACATACGAACAATACTAAAACAGCATCTATGAAAGGAGAAAAGAAAAAAATATATTTTGAAAATATTGAAATTATCTCAAATAGTATTAGACATGAACAGACTGAGAATAGATAGATTATAATAGATAGATTGACTCATAATAATAGGATATATTAACCACTGAGAACAGAGAATGAATGAGAGGAACAGATAGATAGATGATAGATAGATAGATAGATAGATAAGATAGATATTTGACTAGGATATATGAACAGACTAGGGAACAGAGTTCTTTTTTTTGTAAGGAACAGATAGATAGATAGATAGATTGAAGATGATAGAGAGATTAGATAAATATAAAACAGACTGGGAACAGAGAAGGATTTAGAGATTAAAGATGGATAGGATATTGGATAGATCTCCCATAGATGACAGTTAGATGTGGATCACTGAGAACAGATTTTTATTTTTTTAGATAGATAAGAAAAGATATGATAATAAATAGATATATATGGGAATAGAGGGGGAAGAGAGAACAGATGGATAAATAGATGATGGAAAATTCGCATTAGATGATAGATTTGGTGAAAAAATGACAGATGAGTGGAGATTTTCTAATAAATAAATGGATAATAGATAGATGGAAAGACAGAGAGGATCAGAAGAGGTGGAAAATTTGAGAACAGAGAATGCTTGAACAGTTGAGATAGACCTTTAGATAGATGGGATAGATTCATGGATAAATAAACAGATAGATAGATATGGAAAGACTAGAGAACAGAGAATTCAAGCATTAAGGGAGGGCCATTAGACAGATAAATAAAAGATAGATAGATAAAATAGATAAAATAGATAGATATGAAAGACTGAGAACAGAAAAAACCATAGATAGATAAATAGAAGATAGATAGATAGAGGGATATTTTGAGACTAGATAAGAAGTTTGCTAGGAACAAAGCTTCCAAATTTGGATTGAAGATGTGATAGAAACGATGAAAATGGATACAAGTCTCAAGATAGATAGAAATTATTCTAATAAAACCTTGGACTCTTAATGTTGCTATTTTTATAGGACTTTTAAGCATCACCTTATGGACGGTTACTGACAGTTTCTAATTTGGCTGTTCACAGACCGCTCTCAAATGGATGCCTTTGAACAAAAGAGAAACTCGGAGTTTAGATATCATAAATATTATATATATATTAAATATATATATTGATATATCAAAAGGGCAGGTCTTCTGGAGAGAAAACTTATCTCTTGTGATATAAATCATTATATAAATATATATAGATAGATATATATATTGATAGCATATCGATTATTAGTTGAACGAAAGATAGAAGATAGATAATTATTTCAAATCTGTTGTTTGCTGTTCATTTCATTTGTCTGCACCAGGTTGTTTTTGTTATTCTTAAGAATCAAATTGAGGTTTTAGATAAATAAATGTGCTGAATTTAAATATTTTACAGACTATATATATATATTGATAGATAGATAGATAATATATATAGATATATATACAAGACCAGACCAAAGATGATAGGATAGATATGAAAAAAAGATTGATATTTGAATATAATATAATGATAGATGAGAGTTAAATATTTAAGAATAGAATCTAAAGAGATCCCATGTGCTAATCCATAGAAAATGAATTTGGATTTCAATCATGATAGATCTTAATGAACAGATAGATGTATAGATAAGAGAGATTTAGATAGATAAATAAATTCAAAACAAGACAGATTTATATATAATAATAGATTAATTTATTTTTTAATAATGTTTTTGAATAGACAACGATAAAATAATAAATAAATAGATATTTAAATGATTTTACAGGTCAAAAAACAAAATGATAGATAGATATTTATATATAGTTTATATATAGGAGATAATAATAGATCAGAATAGGCTTATAGATTTGTACAGACTTCGATAGATAGATATGAACAGAGATAGATAGATAGATAGATATATATTGATACTATGGATTACATTGTTAAAGCATAAACAATTTGAAGTTAAAAACCTGTGGTTTCTGATTGGGATAGATATATAGCCAGATATTAGAAGATTTTATATTGATACTATAGTCATAAATATAATGTCTGGTATGCATCAAAACGTTATATGAAAAAAACCAAATATATTAGCTGAAGATTATTTTTTCTCAGCTTAGATCTTGCGTTTGGTCGGACATTTGGGAAATGTTCACTGTGTTTTTCATTTTTGATAAACATGCGAACCTAGCTTATCGTCATTCTGTTTAGCGAAACTCCTTTTTATCTATATAAATCATATTATATCATATATAAATATATACATATATCAATAGTATATGGAATACGAGGTTTTGATTTTGAAATGATTTCAATATGTTTAAAATAAAAAATGGCCGTTTTTTTTTAAACTTTTTTTTTTTATGATGGATTTTTAACAATTGATAAAGAATATATTTAATCCCCATTTTCTGACAAAATTTATAATGTATTTCATTTCCTGTAAAATCCAAACATTTCAAAAAAAAAAAAAATTTAAAATGAATTTTTTTAATATTCAGTTCTTTTTAAAAGGCCGCAAAAAAAAAAAAGTAAAATTAAAAATGCATTTTTAAAAAGGAATAATTTTTCATTCCTTCTACGCATTTCCAATCCAAAAAAAAAAAAATTTATATATAAAGAAAATTAAAAACAAAATAATTCATTCTTATATAAAAACCTGAAATCAAGTAAAATCATTGCATTATTGATTATTTTACCTATGAATACCTTTTCTTATCCTTTTTTCTTTTCTTATGCATTTTTATTGTTTTTATTTTAAAATACCATCCAGGTCTCGGTCAACCAAATCAAAAAAACATAAAATATAATGATAAATGAAGAATGTATATCTAATTAAATTTTATATAAATCTTTGCAGACAAAATTTTTTTAAATGGATATTTTTCTAATCATTATTATGTAACAAAAATAACATTATGTTTACATTCATTTTAAAACCGATACATTGTCTTACATAGATTATAGTCAATATAGATATATATATATATATATATAAATTTATATTGATTGAATTTAAAAATCGAGGATTTCGTCATTTGATAGTAAAAAATTTGACAATCTTCTTCTTATGTGGCATTTCATTGTTTAATATTTTTTAAAATCATTTTTATCAATTTTCATTTCCTTCAAATTCATTTCAAATGAATTCTTTAAGAAAAAAATCATCCTCTAAAGCATTTTATAGCAAAATCTTTTTAATAATTTATTATAGTAAATCTTATTTAAAATGCAATTCTCTTATATTAATTTTTTCAATGCATTCTTATAGTAAAATCATTTAAAAAATTTATAGTAAAATCATTTCCAATGCATTTTATAGTAAAATCATTAAAATTTATTATAATAAATATTTCAAAGCATTTATAGTAAAATCATTTCATTTGCATTCTTATAGTAAAATCATTTCAATGCATTCTTATAATAAAATAATTCATTTGCAATGCATTTTATAGTAAAATCAAGACAATGCATTCTCCATAAAATCATTTTTCAATGCATTCTTATAGTAAAATCATTTACAATGCATTTTTATAGTAAAAACCAATGCATTCTTATCAATGCATTAAAATCATTTACAATGCATTCTTATAACTGGAACAATGCATTTTATAGTAAAATCATTTACAATGCATTCTTATAGTAAAATCATTTCCAATTTTTTTATAGTAAAATCATTTCAAAATTCTTATTTTCATTTTCAATGCATTCCTTATAGTAAAATCATTTCCAATGCATTCTTATAATAAAATCATTTACAATGCATTCTTATAGTAAAATCATTTCCAATTTGATTATATAAAATCATTTCCAATGCATTCTTATAGTAAAATCATTTCCAATGCATTCTTATAGTAAAATCATTTACAATGCATTCTTATAGTAAAATCATTTCAATGCATTCTTATAGTAAAATCATTTCAATGCATTTTCATAGTAAAAACATTTTATAATGCATTTTATAGTAAAACCATTTCCAATACATTCTTATAGTAAAATCATTTCCAATGCATTCTTATAGTAAAATCATTTCCAATGCATTCTTATAGTAAAATCATTGCCAATGCATTCTTATAGTAAAATCATTTCCAATGCATTCAATATAGTAAAATCATTTACAATGCATTCTTATAGTAAAATCATTTTACAATGCATTCTTATAGTAAAATCATTTACAATGCATTCTTATAGTAAAACCATTTCCAATGCATTCTTTATATTAAAATCATTTCAATGCATTCTTATTTAAAATCAAACAATGCATTTATAGTAAAATCATTTCCAATGCATTTTATAGTAAAATCATTTCCCAATGCATTCTTATAGTAAAATCATTCCAATGCATTTTATAATAAAATCATTTCCAATGCATTCTTATAGTAAAATCATTTACAATGCATTCTTATAGTAAAATCATTTCAATGCATTCTTATAGTAAAAATCATTTGCCAATGCATTCTTATAGTAAAATCATTCGAACAATGCATTCTTATAGTAAAATCATTTCAATGCATTTTCATAGTAAAATCATTTCCAATGCATTTTTCATTTTAAAATCATTTCCCAATGCATTTTTTATAGTAAAATCATTTCCAATGCATTTTATAGTAAAATCATTGCCAATGCATTTTCATAGTAAAATTCATTGCAATGCATTTATTTAAGTAAAATCATTTCCAATGCATAAATTTAGCAATGCATTCTCATAAAAAAAAAATGCATTTTTATAGTAAAATCATTTCAATGCATTTTATAAAAATCATTTTATAAAAATTTTTATAATAAAATAAAATTTCCAATGCATTCTTATAGTAAAATCATTTTCAATGAATTTTTAAAAATTTCAATGCATTTTTATAGTAAAATCATTTGTAATGCATTCTTATTTTCTAGTAAAAAATTCTTATTTAAAACCATTTAAAATTAGTATAATAAAACCATTTAATGCACATTTAATTCTAAAAATTCAATGCATTTTCATATATAAAAAAATTTTTCAATGCATTCTTATAGTAAATTCATTTCCATTTTCTTATATATTTGTCATTTCCAAATCATTTTTATAGTAAAATCATTTCCAATGCATTTTTATCAGTAAATCATTTTTGTTTTTAAAATCATTTCCCAACCATTCTTAGTAAAATCATTTGTAATGCATTTTTATAGTAAATCATTGGACCAATACATTCTTATAGTAAAATCATTTCAATTTCTTATAATAAAACCATTTCCAATGCATTGGATTAAAAACCATTTCAATTTTCTTATAAACATAAAAAAAATTTTCAATGCATTCTTATAGTAAAATCATTTTCAATGCGTTTTATAGTAAAATCATTTGCATCCAAAAACATTTTGCATAGTAAAACCATTTCAATGCATTTTTATAGTAAAATCATTTCCAATGCATTCATATAGTAAACAAACGATGCATTTTTATAGTAAAATCATTTTCAATGCATTCTTATAAAAGTAAAATCATTTCCAATGCATTTTATAGTAAAATCATTTCCAATGCATTTTATAGTAAAATCATTTCAATGCATTCTTATAGTAAACCATTTCAATACATTCTTATAGTAAAATCATTTCAATGCATTTTTATAGTAAAATAATTTCCAATGCATTCTTATAGTAAAATCATTTCCAATGCATTCTTATAGTAAAATCATTTCAATGCATTTTTATAGTAAAATCATTTCGAATGCAGGAATAGTAAAATCATTTCAATGCATTTTTATAGTAAAATCATTTTCAATACAAAATCATAGTAAAATCATTTAATACATTTTTATAGTAAAATCATTTCAATGCATTAATATAGTAAAATCATTTCCAATGCATTACATTCTTATAATAAAATCATTTACAATGCATTTTTATAGTAAAATCAAACAATTCATTATAGTAAAATCATTTCCAATGCATTTTTAAATATTTCAATGCATTTATAGTAAAATGACAAATTTTCATGGATTAAAACCATTCCCAATGCATTTTTATAGTAAAATCTTATTTACAATGCATTTTATAGTAAAAATCATTTGCAATGCATTTTTATAGTAAAATCATTTCCAATGCATTTTTATAGTAAAATCATTTTCAATGCATTCTTATAGTAAAATCATTTCCAATGCATTCTTATAGTAAAATCATTTCAATGCATTTTTATAGTAAAATCATTCCCAATGCATTCTTATAGTAAAATCATTACCAATGCATTCTTATAGTAAAATCATTTTCAATGCATTTTTATAGTTAAATCATTACCAATGCATTTTTATAGTTTTTCAATGCATTCTTATAATAAAATCATTTTCAATGCATTCTTATAGTAAAATCATTTCTAATGCATTCTTATAATAAAATGATTTACAATGCATTTTTGTACTAAAATCATTTTTCTAATAATTTTATATTTTCAAAAATTATTTTCAAATCATTTTGCATTCTTAAATAAATTCCAATGCATTTTTTATAGTAAAATCATTTTCATTGCATTTTTATAGTAAAATCATTTCCAATATATTTTTATAGAATAAAATCATTTCAAATGCATTTCTATAATAAAATCATTTTCCAATGCATTCTTATAGTAAAATTAAAATGCATTCTTATATAAAAATCATTTACAATGCAGTTTTATAATAAAATCATTTCCAATGCATTCTTATATAATAAAATCATTTTCAATACATTCTTATTGTAAAAATCATTTCCAATGCATTCTTATAATAAAATCATTTCCAATGCATTATTATAATAAAATCATTTTCCAATGCATTCTTATAGTAAAATCATTTCCAATGCATTCTTATAATAAAATCATTTCCAATGCATTCTTATAATAAAATCATTTCAATGCATTCTTATAATAAAATCATTTCAATGCATTTTTATAATAAAATCATTTCTGTGCATTCTTATTGTTAAATCATTTCCAATGAATTTTATAGTAAAATCATTTTCATGCATTCTTATAGTAAAATCATTTTCAATGCATTCTTATAGTAAAATCATTTCCAATGCATTCTTATAGTAAAATCATTTCCAATGCATTCTTATAGTAAAATCATTTCCATTGCATTCTTATAATAAAATCATTTCCAATGCATTCTTATAGTAAAATCAGTTCCAATGCATTCTTATCGTAAAATCAGTTCCAATGCATTCTTATAGTAAAATCATTTCCAATGCATTCTTATAGTAAAATCATTTCCAATACATTCTTATAGTAAAATCATTTGTAATGCAAGAAAGATTTTATTGTACATTTGTCATATTCGAAACAGAAGTGAAAATGTTGAGACAAAGTGAAAAAAAATTTAATCAAAGACGCCTTTCGCCGGAAAAAGTTTATGTTCTCTTTGGCGTCATAAAAGATGAAACTATGTGAGGGGAGTGTATGTTTGGATTTCCGAGGATAATTTGTTTGTCATAAAATGTCCCTGGTATTTCCAAGCGGTAACCCATCAAACTACTAACCAGGATCAACGTTGCTTAACTCCCGTGTTTCAATGTGATGAGGAGGTAAGCCGAAAAGAAGGCGATGAATAGAAAAAGGAAGGAAAAAAAAGAAGAAATGAAAGAGAAAGAAATACGATGACAAACAAAGGAAAAAAAAAGAGAAAATTGAAAGAAAAAGCAGAGATAGATAAAGGTAGAGAGGTAAGCAAAGAAAGAAAGAAAGAAAGAAAGAAAGAAAGAAGGAAAGAAAGAAAGAAAGGCACAATATTGAATAGAAAGAAACAATGAAAATGGTAAGACAGAAAGAAAAATTAAGAAAGAATGTGAGAAAAGGAAGGAAAGAAAGACAGTCCTTTCTAAATATTTTGCAAAGAAAAGAGAAAAGAATGAAAAAAGGAAGGAAAAAAAAGAAGGAAGGAAGCATGAAAGACGGTAAACGAAATATTGTGAAAAAGAAAGTTCAAAAAAAGAAATAAAGAAAGCTGTTACACCTGAAGATATAAAGAGGGAAGGAAGGAAAGACTATAAAAGAAATGTGAAGATAAGCATAAAAGAGGGAAGGAAAGAAATAAATGAAACATATAAGAACAAGGAAGGAAGAACGTAAACGAAAGGACAAAAAAAGAAAATAAAAAAAGTAAGCAAAAAAGAAGGAAGGAAGGAAAAAACAAAGAAGGAAGGAAGGAAGAAAGGAGAAATGAAGGAAAGAAGGAAGGAAGGAAGGAAGGAAAGGAAAAAAGAATGAACAAAGAAGAAGAAAGAAGTAAGCGAAAGAAGGAAGGAAAGGAAGGAAGGAAAAATGAAACACAGATGGCAAAAGAAAAGAAAGAAAGAAAAAAGAGAGTGTTGAAAGAAAGAAGGAAGGAAGGAAGGAAAGACGGCAAAAGAAATACTGTGACAAAGAAAGAGAAAAGAGAGTAAGCGAAAGAAAGAAGGAAGGAAGGAAGGAAGGAAGGTAATACGGTAAAAGAAATACTGTGACAAAGAAAGAGAAAAGAGGGTAAGCGAGAGAAGGAAGGAAGGAAGGAAGGAAGGAAGGAAAGACGGCAAAAGAAATACTGTGACAAAGAAAGAGAAAAGAGAGTAAGTGAAAGAAAGAAAGAAAGAAAGAAAGAAAGAAAGAAAGAAAAAAGAAAAAAGAAAGAAAGAAAGAAAAGATATAATCTGGAAAGCAAAGGAAAAAATTTTAGAGTAAAAAAGAAAGAAAGAATGGAATAAAGAAAGAATGAAAGAAAGAAAGAAAATATTTCGTAGATATAAGGAGAACTAGAAAGGAAGGAAGGAAAGAAAAAAGGAAAAGAAAAAAAGGAAAAGAAAAAAGGAAAAGAAAAGATATACACTGCCAAGGAAAGGTAAAGAGTTGTGGACTAAAAAAAGAATAAACGAAAGAAAACGAAAAAAACAAAGCAAAGGAAGAATGATATAAAAAGGAAGGAGAAAGGAAAAAGTTACAAAGATAGAGCAACTGAAAAAAAAAATGGAAGAAAGCAAGAATGAAAGAAAATCGAAAAATGATAAGATAACTGGTGAATTTATTATGAGTACTTGGGAAAAAAAAAAATTGAAATGCATCAAGAAAGAAAGACAAGGCTCCCTCAAAAATATGAAAAAAAAAAAAATGAAATTTAAAGAAGGAAAGAAATGAGAAGTAAAATATCTGCTTCCCCCACCACCGCTATAACTCCAGCACAAGCCATTTTTCCCTTTTTCTATTTGGCACGAAGTAAATATATTCAGCAAGGCTT